CTAAAATATCAAGTCTAGCTCGGTTACAGTACACGAACCTCCATTGTTAGAGAAGCCTGAAAAAATTTGAAAACATTGAATTTGAATCAAAATGTTGTATTGTTTCCGAATATAGAGTCAACATTATTCTAGGATTTTAGATTTAGAAGTTATGAGTCAACCTTTTACAGGCGCGAGCATTAAATTTGGACGGAGTAAATTGACGATTTTTGTAATAATAATCTTCTTTACTGCATACGTTATATTACCTATTTTTTTGCATATAATCAAACGTGAAATTGTTCTCTACAAAGTGATATAGGAATCAAGAGTTTCAAAAGAATCATTCAGGAACGGCTAAGTTCACTTTGGAAATCTGTTTTTTTTTCGTAGGAATCAAGAAAATTGACACAATGTATCTTAACAGAGTACTCACCGTTGACAAAGTATTTACAGTAAATTAATCATTAGTATACCACTTTATAGACATGTTTGTTCTTTTATTCGTTGTACGTGCAAAAGAACACATAATACTGATATTAACTTAATATTTTCAAATTTCTGCAGATTCTTTTAAGAGACTGAAAAATGAACAAACATTTCGTCAAATTATTTATCGATAATCCGTTTATAATAATTTAAAATTAATTGTATTCAAAACTCAGAAAAAAAAGAATTTAATTTCGACTCACTTAGACTCTGATTGTTGTTCGAGTCCAAGAAAATTAAAACCTGTATAATTTGTTTTAGTTTTTTGTAATTCATCCATATATGAATCAAGATTAACCTCTGGATTATTAATATAATTTGGTACAATAAAACCTCGACTCTTAGCATTGATATTTCTTTCTTCTAATAAACGCGAAGTTATATTCAATAAAATACCAATTCTACATTGAACAGTATTCAAACATAACCATGTACCACCTTCACGTAATGGTGTTACATCTTGTCCTTTATATAAAAGGAAAAAAAAAATATAATGTTGTTTTATTCTTTTCTTATTTAATGGTAAAACAAAAACTAGCAAAATTCGAACCTCCAAGTGCATATTTTGTATCTTTCCAAATATGAGCTTGTTTAGCTGGTCGTTGAAAATCTTCATCACGATTTGATAATAATATTAAATCATATCCGATATCAATATTATCGTCATGTAAATAACAGAAAAGAATACACATGATCTCAAAATACACACACAAAGTTTTATAAGAAAAGAAGATAACTGTTAAGTCGATAAATTCTCAATGTGTGTATCTTTTGAAATGCACACATGAAGAATAAAAAATATATCTTCACTTTTACAAAGAAGCAAAAAAGAAAAAAGAAAAAGAACTGTACACATGAGAAACAGTGTTATCAACTTGTTGAAAAAAAAAAAATGAAAGACGACTAATCATCCTTATATAAATAGTTGAACAAATGATAAAGAAAAAACGAAAGAAAAAAAAAACAGAATATGTTTATACAGCAGATCGTTTATTTGTTTTGTATTTTGTCATGAATGATTTCTAGTTGATGATGTTCCACTATAATCTATTCCACGACATGCCGATGAAAATGTATTTATATGATCTTTAAAATTTGCACGACTTGTACGTTCACTAAAAAGAAGACATTTTATTTTTTCAATATAAGATATAGAATCAAAAAAAATATATACGATGTTAATGCTTTAATTAATGCTTCACGATGATGACGTTTTGGAGATGGTGTAGGAAAATTTGGATCATTTAAACATTGTTGAACCCAATTTGATGTACAATCAATATATAATTTTGATAGAGTAAATAATGGTAATGATAATGTATCAACTAAATGGCGTGGACTTGCCCCACCAATACACTAAAATTTCAATATATGTATATTTTTAATATTTTGTTTATATAATAAAAGATATTTTGGAATTAAATGAATGATTTATATATTTCTATATAAAAATCATATTAAAAATTTGTGTTAAAATAATATTTGAAATAAAATTCAAAAGACAATAGATCAGTGTTTTATTCAGATCTTCTCTTTCGATAGAGTATCATCATCTTCGCCCTCACACTGAATAAAATATTATAATAGATCGATTTGCTAAACAAAATTATAATTAAAAATCAGATTGTATTGGCTTAACTATCATTCATTTTTTTTTAATGAGAAAAAGTTCTTTCGAAGAATTGTATTATCATCACTTTGTGTATTGGACTTTTTTTTTTCTATACTTCTTTCTATCTTGCTGTCTACGCATTAATTTATTATGTGTTACTGTTAATAATAGCTAAGCATTTTCTATAGAGATAGCTCACCTTGTCAACAACTTTTTCCATAAATAATATTGTATCGAGTGACCAGATAAATCGTCGCGAGTGTGAATGAGAATCTTTTATGTACTCACACCCTAATATGTCACGCAACGAATTATTCCGGCACCATTATTTTGTATTTTGGAATCATTTCTTTTTTGCTTATTTACATTTAGAGATTTTTTTTAGTGCTCATCGAAAAATTCTTTCTACAATTCTCGATAAACATTTAAAAGTTCTTTAATCAAATTATAGTAAGAACTTTCTGTCTTGTTCTTAAGTTGTATATAATTAATGAGAACTAAATTTTGTCGATTAATTTGGAATACTTCAGATAGACGAATAACAAGATATTCTTTGTTAACACTCATATCATCACCTGGGATTTGCGCAGACCTTAGTCAGTTTGATTTCAATATTATACATACATAATGTCAAATCGAATTTCGTGATTTTAGATATATCTCAGCGAAAGGTAGTATAGTATACTGATAGCAGTAGTTAATCGTTGCTGAATTGATAGAACAATCCAAAATATACAAGAACACTGGATTTACAATACGCGGTTGAAAACAGAGAATAATAAGAATATGAGTATAAATATTCAATATAGATAATTCAAATCGATTGCTTTTCTCTTCATTCTTTGCATAGTTCACACTTCCATTACAGTTTAATAATAATTTCTTACTGTTGATGTTTTAACAAACTCGAGTCTGCATAGATCCCAGATGGAAATCAGATTACTATCCCATAGGTGAAGAAGACGAGATAAGTTTCTTGATATTTTTCAATCATATAATTTTAATAAAGTATAAAATCTAACCTTAAGAAGAATCTGAACTATTTCAAGACCATTTTGTCTTAGAAGATCAGCTGCTCGTTGATTTGATTTCGTATATTCAATATAATTAGACTTTAAAAAAAAGTAAATAAGTAAAATATTAAAATTTTTTTTTTTGTATTCATCTATTTACTGTAAACATTGTAATACTTCTTAATGTTGTTTGTTCATGTAATTGAAGACCACTTTTTACTTTAAATATTCAAATATATAAAATTAATTTCTCTTAAATATCAAACATACCGAATTGAAAAAGTAAAACAAATGCTTCATTAGGACAATGATGTACAACAGTTGGTAATTTTTTAATAATCTAAATAATAATACAAAAAAAAAAATGTCAAAATAAAATTAATTGAAACTAATCATTTTACTTGAATAAGAAAATTAGCAAAATCTTCTACAATATCAACATGATCTTTTAACCACTGTATATCTAAATCAATATTAAATGTATCAAAAAAAAAAAAACAACAAAATAAATCAATAGATTCAAACCTCCTTTAAAAAGGTATCCAAATCTTTGAAGAACAGCAATAAATAAATTAAACATTTGTTTATCTGTATCTTGTGAAAAAAGAAGAAGTGTCTAAAAATAAAAATATTCATAAAATTTCATTTTTATTCAATCGTATATATAACATACATTTCTAACAAAATTTAAAAATTGTGCATGCAATATATTTGGTCCAATGTTTTGTGAAAGTTCTAAAAGAGATTTTAATATTGGACTAATGGATTCTCTTAATGTTGTTACTGTTCGTGAAAGTATTTCACATAATTTCTTTAAAATTAAAAAAATAATACAATAAATAATTACAAAAATAAAACATATATATATTTTTTTGTTTTTGTTTTTCATCTTACTTCTGTTACTTCACTATCATCAGCATATTGTTTAAGAATCAAATGAAGAATTGGAGTAAGATCACGTAGAACACAACATAACTGTATGCAAATAAAGAGATAAAGAAAATCTTGATTATATGAATTAATAAGTCGATTGAAGAGTTTTATTATTCAAGTTTTAATAAATTCATGTCGTTTATCTTTCTTAAGAAAGCATTTGAACAAGTGATGAATTGCTTTTGAGATGAGTTGTATTTAGAGTTTGTCAGGTTTACAATTTTCGGAATCGGACGTGTCCAAGTCCGAGATCAACTCAATGGGCTCTCATCGTATCTTATTAGATATGCCTTTGTGAGAATTTTCTTTTTTATATTTCGATCTTTAGAATTAGAAAATTGGATACTTTCGCAATGATCTTGTCCTATTAGAAATTTTATTTATGGAAAATTTTAGCTTAAAGATCGATGTTGAAAATGATTTAACGAAAAAAACATTTTATAGAAAAAAATTCATTCAAATGGCCATCAATGAAGACGAAAAATTCATGGACACGAATTGTTTTGAGCTTTTTCTAATGTTACAAGGGCATATTCAATAAGATAAGTCTTATCTTAACAATAATTTAATATTTGACAAGGCTCTGTCAATAGTTTTTTATGGATTACATGAGATTCGTGTCTGCTTTTCTGTGTAATCAATCATCATTAAGAAAGATAGAATAAATTCATGGACTTTTATTTGAAATCCAATGGAATATAATCAGGTTTTTGTTTGTAGAAAAATTACAAAACAAAATTTTGATGATTTAATAACAGCAACAACATGAAACTATTTATAAATAAAATTACATAAAATGGTCCGAGAAAAAGAATAGATTATCTTGATTTCAGTTACTAGAAATATTTTAAAACGTTTTTGTACCTAAAAAAAAATGACTTTGGCGCTCATCACATAAATGCTTGTAGTCAAGCACTAATTTACTTTAAGTATGAATATTTTGAAATGACCTGTATTGCAAGTAGAGTCCGTCGGGATGATTCAACAGGTCATACTCTAAAAGTAACAGCTAATTATAACTTGATTATTATAAGACTATCGTCAAACTTGTCTGAGAAATGTGTAGGATATAGTAGTAATAAAATTCAGAGCGGTTATTAAACTTACGAAGGAAGTTCTTTAATTGATAAATCGCTTTTGAGTCGAGACTATGTACATTGTGTAGAGCCAAATGAGCTATGAATACTCTGAAAAGCCTTCGGATCCTTCGCTTATTGTTGTGAAGATGCTGCACTTTTATGGTGTTTTTTAAATGAATATCGTGGTAACAGAAAAACTGATTTTCGAATTTCGACTCGAAACTTTGCATAGAGATAACTTTGAACGAAAGTAGTTTCAGGTCTTTTGATTTGCTACTATCTTAACATAAGAGAACATCAAATATGTTAGTTTATATGAACGATGTAAAAGATATGCTATTACCAATGAAACATTCACAACAAACTCTCCTCATTCAGCCCTATCTCTATGCCATGTTTAAGTCAAAATCCAAAAATCAGTTTTTCTATTATCAAGGCATTCATTTAAAAAATACCATAACAGTACAGTATCTCAATAGCAATAAGCTAAAGACATGAACTCTTTTCAGGACATTCATAATTCACTTAGGTCTGCATAATGCACCGTAGTCTTGACTCAAAAGTAATTTATCAATTGAAGGATGAATACACTCCAAATCCAGATCTGAAAAAGTTTAATCAATAGAGTTCCAATTCAAAAATGTTAGACTCGTACAGGCTCTAATCGCAGATGTATATATTATCAAAATCAAAATCGACTTAAAAATTTTATTTTAATACAAATCTAATATCAAGTTAGTAATAGTTCCCAAAAAAAAAACAAACATGCAATATCATACCACTTCAGGTATTTCACTAATAGTTTCTGCTGTTTTTTGTTGTTGTTCATTTTCATCAGCATCACTTTGATCACCACAATAACCAATAGTGGTAATAAGCACAGATATAAAACTTAATGTTGTACAAATATTTTGTTTTCGTAATATTGCATTCTAGAAATATTTCAATAGAACTTTGTTTTTTTTTTTGTCTTATATTCAAGTCAATTTATACTTGATCAACATTTGTTTCCGATAAATAAGCAAGTAATTTATTAACTTCAGGTGCAAGTAATATATTTAAATGATCAATAACAATTTTTGATGGATATGCTGATAGAATATAACCAATTATTGCTACACAACGAATACGATCATTTGGTTGAACTTGTACATTCTCAAGCACATTCTTTTTAAAAAAAAATCAAACCATAATTTGTTTTTTTTTTCTTAAAAATTTAATTTTTATTTTTACTTTAATTATTGGAAATATATCATTAAGATATTTTGACATATACAGACGATTTTCCATTGTTAATTCCTTTAAAGCAATTGAAGCTGATTGAATTAATTCAGGATTTGATAATGCATTAATACATAAATGTACACAATTTTGTAATGTTTCTTGATGATGACCTAACCAACTACTATATTGTCCTAGAAAAATAAAAATAAAAAAACATTTATAAAATAATTTGTTGTTTTTTTTTCTTATTTAAATATGTTTTTCTTTTGTCTTACCAAGCACCATAAGAGTTGCATTTATAATTGAACTATTACAAAAATTTAATTTTGGTAAAAGTAAAAAAATTCGTGGTAAGATTTGATTTTCATCAAGTGGAACATATTCAGAACCGGCACCAACTAATTGAATAATTGATTCTTGCCGCTAATAATAATAATAATAATAAAAAGCAAAATACGAGATAAGTAAAATTAAATTAATATAAAACATACCTGCCATGATTGATTTTGTTCAACAGCTAATAATAAATGATTTGCTAATACTAGAAAATTTATAACAAAAAAAAATTAAGTTTTAAAACAAATAGAAACTAATAGGCGAACGATGAATTTTTTTTTTTTAAAAACATCTCTATCTTCTCTTGTCTCTCATATTAGTTACCTTTAATCAAAGCTGACTAAATCTAAGGTGACATTGAATTCTCAATCTTTTAGAGTAATTTTAATAGTTTACTTTTTTTTAATACAAAATGATCAAGTGCTTCAGATATTTACGAAATGAAAATAAATAGAATTTCGATCAATGTTTTATTCAGTATAAGAACGATGTTCCTTTGAAGGTCGGGTTGACCATGTCGAACTTTGTAGTTATTATACTGCATACCATATACCTGTCCTCTCAGAGTTTTATCTCACCCGTCCGGAAGAGAAAACCTAGATAAAACACTGATTCTGATCTCATGAAAAGACTAATATCTATAGGCAACAAAACATTTGGAATTTAGGCCAGGTTCAATAGTCTATATCAAATTTCCACCGAAAAGTCAAGAATAGGAAGGGAAGAGGAAATATTTTCATATCATTCAAATGGAAGACAATTTATGCTTCTTATTTCCAGCTCACATTTTGCACTATATAAATCTGATACGATTCAGAAAAAATTCGCAATGAATGTAAAAAAAATCGTACATTTAAAGAAACACGTCTACATTTGTCTTTATTTAATTCGCGCTTTCGAAAGAACAATTTACGATCTGCTTTACTGAAAAACAGAATAATAATGAAACAGTAGTGTTCTCAAAGGAAGAAGGGATTATATTATGGGTTTGTTCACTTTGCTGAAAATATTTCTTAGACATATAAGTTTACGAGAGAGCTACCCAAACTGTTACTCACTATTTGAGCTCATATCGAGTCCAAAAAGAAGTCTTCGTAAGATTAGAAAAATCGTAAAAGAGTTTTTCAACATGCAATTTTGTCTATTGATATGTCTAATGGCTCTGGTAATGTCCGGAAAGTTTCAGTCGAAAACAATGTTTCTTTGTCGAGATATTGAATTTCCAACAAATAGTCGCTTGCTCCAGATTCCATAAAAATCTAATTTACTTGGAAATTCAATAGCACGACAAATGAACATTCTTCGGTTGAAAGGATTCTTCTAGTCTTACCGAAGCTATCTTGTAGCATCAATATGAATTCAAAGGACGGATTACAGTTGGAATAGTTTCATCGTTAGCTACTAAAGGCGGAGTAAACTTTTAGCAGCCTGTAGTTTATTGAACTCTAGTTTCCTATGCAATTCATCTTCACATGCAATAAAAGGAATACTATTTCAAGTCATTGACAATATAGAGTCCATCATTTAGTCATGCCAAATTCAATATTTCGTCAAGAACGTTTTCGAAGTCTGTTCCATTACGACAATATTACAAAATTTTCAATGTACTGCATAAATCTATGAATCGAATGCTTGAGTATACTTAAGTCTCGTGGCTTTACCACCTATATACTAGCATCATCGATTACTTTTGTCAAGTTCATAAACATGTTAGTCGGATTTATACGATCGCTCATAAATTAAGACTAAAATTCACATTTTAAAATTTCTACTAATGATAAATCTTATTTATTAACAAAATAATTAAATAAAAACTCAATTCATAATAATATTTTCTTTATCTTATTTACCTTCAATGGCTCGATTACCAAGAACATTATGCATACACATCTAAAAATCACAAAAAAAAAACAATAATTCTTTTCTTCGAAATATCTTTCATATTCACCATTGTATCTGTTATATCAACACGATAACATCGAAATGTTTCTTTATCTTCACTTGTAAAAATACTCTCATTATCTGGTAATTGTCCTTTAGAAATTAATACTTCAATTAAACGTTCAAAATATGGACGAAATAATTCTAATAAAATGATTCGTTTATCATCATCATCTATTGAAGTTACTTCTTCCTAATATTAAAAACAACACAAAACAAAAAAAGAACAAATATATTTTTCTCAAAGAAGAACAAAAATTTTGTCTATTTTATTCTACCTGTAATGCATACCAAAAGCTAAATGTTAATTCCGAACATGCTTCCTCAACGGGATATTGTCCTTTCATATCAGTACATTTCTAAACAACAAAATAGAAAGTCATAATTTAATAATTAAAATATTTTTTAAAAAAATCTAAATTTTACCATAACAAGACAACAAAATCTATGTGCAAGTGTTTGTGATTGTTGATTAGGTGTAATAGCCATTTGAATAATAAGTTGAGCAAGATTTTCACCAAATTGTGTTATTAATTTTGTTATACATTCTGCTTTTTCCTAAAACAAAAAAAAAAGTAAACAAAAATTCAATAAAAAAAAAACAACCTAAAAATAAAATAAATAATTTATTTTTTCTTACTTTATCACCAATCATTAATGATTGATCAAGTATTGATTCAAGTTGTAAAACATATGGTAAAAGACGTGAAAATATTGGTGGATATCTAGAAATTATAAATATTTTCAAAAAAAAAAAAACAAAAAAATCCAAGAATTTACTTAAGTGCATCCGGTGATGTAAAAAGTACAATAATACAATTTGAAGCATCATCAAATATATTTTCATTATTTAATGAATTAAATAAATAATCAAAAAGTGATTCAACTTTAATAATTGATATACCAAATTCAAGCCATTTTGATAAACATGAAAACATTTTACTAAGAATATCTGTTTGATTATATGTAGAAATAATAAATTGTATATAATTAAGAACTAAATTATATTCATAGAAATTTAAATTAAATATATATATATATTTTTTTTTTTTTTTGTTTTTAGAATTACCAGTAGGGAATTGACTTTCGAGTTCAGCTCGAATTGAAGCACGCTGAGCTTTAGATACAACGATACGTGAAAACTAAAAACAAAAACGAAAGATCATTTTTGAACTTATGTGAGAAGATTTCTCGCTTTTTATATAAGAAAGGTGTTAGCGTTACTCCTGTGGAATTAAAATGTCGAACATGATGTAACTGTACTTATTAATCACAGGGAGATTGTTTTATTCTGTGTATTTTGAGACACATTTCTTCATTTGACCTTTATTTTATCGTCCGGAAAGGCAATAACGAAGACGTTCATATATTATAACAAGACATCATTGATATGCGGTCTACGATCGTATATCAACAACGTCTGTGGAAGAACAGGGAGCAAATTTCTACTCTCTCTCGTTTTTGAATAAAAAAAAAAACTTTGAAACCGTTCATAACTATGATCTGTCAGTCCAATGTTACAAACGTTTTATTGAATTTTCGGTCTATGTAACAATATTCACAGAATAAACCCAAATCGTTTGAGTTTGGTACATGTCAAATAGTGTCATATTTGTAATAAGAAGATATTTTCAGAAAATTTAATATTCCGAGAAAGAAACATCCATTTTTCGATAAAAATTTCGGTAGATAGATATAGGTATCATTAGATCTGCTTATGAACGAAACTTCAAATCGAAATACATTCAATGGAGTTTCCTGTGGATACTGTACCGTAGGTCGATAATTCACTAAAATAATTGTAACCTTTGACCAACAGATCATACTCATGAACTGTGTTAAGGCGTGTGTGCTCCTTTGTCAGAAACATTTTTTATTATCCCAGAACAACTGATCTTGCTGAAACTTTCACGAAATGTATGCCCTTTCATGAATGGTTTTCACATTTAATATTTGAGTGCTTCAAGAGTTGTACTAATATTATGGATCAAAAATTACGTGTTCATATGACAAAGATTTTTCCTCCAAATCTAATGATATAGATTTCAGATTGATCTCAAAATGTAGCCAAGACTCGCCAGTACAACTTAACAGAATTGAATCATTGAAAATTTTGTCTTATATATTTGAAATGAATTCATTTTTCTCGAATATGAACTAGAAAATAAAAATATCTAACTCTGCTAAGTTGTACCATGTAGCTATCGCTTCATATGAAAACTTCGTTGAGTTTTCTAGTATTTGAAACAGCCGAACAATTTTTGACACACAAACTATTGAAAACATTAAAAAAAATCTATGTCGCGAAAAACACGAGACAAGTTTTAACTTAGGTTTTTTTTTTCTTGAGACGTGGTGTGAGTGAGTGAGAGAAGAATTGTGAAGAAAATACATTCAAACGCTCACCCACACCCTATGGGATATACTCTACCAAGATTTTCCATGGTTGAAAACCTATAGAAAAATTCAAAAGATATTGATAATTGAAGTTTTCAAACAAATCAATTTTCTCATTTCGATAGTTTCAGTAAAACCATGAAAACTCATATGCCATTGTGTTTTCGATAGTAGACAATACGAACTATCCTACCACGAAAAAAATCTCAAAATTGAATTTCATGAGTAAAATCCGGTTTTCTAACAGGAGGGTGTAAGTGTGAAGAATACACTGATATCCACACTCGTATAATGTCTAAAATAGGTTTGGTAGTACTAGGATCAAAGAAATACGACATAGACACGATAAAATTTTCTTGTTTATATTTTAAGTTAATATATTTTCATATTCATAAATTCAATCTAAACATCTTTGAATTTTTAAAGCTATCATAAACAATATGAATACAATTTCAATTTCACCAAATGCATTGCTTTATATTATTGAATACTCTTCGAATCTCTAAGGAATATCATACACATCTACGAAACATTTTCTAAAAGCTTTGATTTAAATAATATATCAATACAAAGTAGACAAAAGACGAAATGCTTCTATAATAGATTCTTTCTATTTTTATCAACATTCATTTTCATGATATGATTAATCTTCTTCCGATTAATAATGCCTCAGATGATTGTCAATCATTATTACTCATGAGAAAAACATAAATAGAGACTCTTTTTTTTTTTTTATTCAATTCAATCAATAGAACTATAGACAACGTCAATTATGTCAAATTCTAGTACGATAAGGAAATGTACAATGCCATTACGACATTACGTCCTACTATCGGTCTATATATTTATATATATTAGCATGTCAAGGACAAAGCACATAGAAGAAATGCACTGAAAAAAAACGTAGCAGATGTTTTTATCTTTCTAATCTTTAAATCAACAAAGGAAAACAAAAACTTACTTCTTCAGGAAGAATAGTTAGTATATTTAAAACAATTAAATGACCTTTTTCCGGCTAAAAAGAAAAATAATTAAAAATAAAAATTAACACTAAACAATTGCAATTAACAAACATGTTCGATTAAAAATTCATTTTGTGATTGTGTAAATAATGCAATAATTGCTGTTATACCATTTTTCCATTTATCTGGCATCATATTTAATATTAAATGTCCTAACTAAAGAAAAGAAACAGTTTTTACTTTGTTTTTTTTTTCATGCTGTACTACTTACAGCAACAACTAATTTAATTGTAATTTGCTTTGAATTAATTGATATATAAAAAATTAAACGTTGAATAAGTTGTTGAAATAATTGTTGAATTTGATTATCATCTAATTCTGATCTAATTTAATATATATGTATATAAATAATAATAATCAAGCAAAACAAAAGAAAAAAAAAATGAAATCATACAAATGTTTTGAAATTTTATTACACAAAGCAACAGCACCAAAAAATTGTACACTTGATGATTTATTTGTATTTAATAATTTCCAAGAAAAATCCCATGCTATTTGAGAATATTGTAAACATTCAAGAATACTATTTAATTGTTGACGTTGTGAAACAGTTAATTGAGATGTTGGTGAATAAAAATCATTGATTATACGTTCTAATTGAAAGATTTATTTGTTTTTCTTTTTTAATATAACAAAAACAAAAACTAACCGATTTCTTCTACGGAATAATTTGTTGCAAAAACATTTTTTGGATCATTTCCATTTAGAATATTTGGTGAATTATTAAACATTGTTTGAGATGCCATCAGCATGGCGATAAAAAAAAAACAAAAAAATTAACCTTTTTTTCCTTGACCAAAACCTAGATAATCGTTCTAGAAAAATAAATTTATTATTTGATAATAAATATTTTTGAATTATTCGTTCGATCTGTTGATAAATTCTTTATTCAACTCTTATTTGTTTTCTTTTTTTTTTCTTCTTTCGATTCGGTGAATATCGCTATACGTTTGTGTTCTTATGCAATCATAAATACATATATGATGTCACTAGTCCACAATAAGATAGTTAAAAAAAAAAAGATACAAGAAGAATTAAATATTTTCTACTTAAATTATTGATAATAATCTTATAATATCAAATTCAAATGTTATTTAAAAAACAAAAACAAAAAAATCTAAATGGATTTCTACTAATGAAAAAGTTCTTCGCTGCTGTATTATCTATCATGTTAAGGTATTAAGACATGTGATAAGATAGTGAAAATGCCAAAAAAGAAAGAAAGATTCTTGTATGAGAGATGACAGTTGTCACTTGTCGTCTTTGTCGAAGTATATTCTCTATGATTTAATTTATAGATGTTTGTTTTTTGGTCTGTATCTAGTTCAGACTTCTGATTTCATTTTAAGTTAAGGTCGACTTATTGAAAACAGAACATATAAGAAATGATTTTATTTCTCAGAGTGAAAGACTACGATCTATAGATCTAAATTCATAAGAATGTAAATCTGTAGATCTCAATAGAATATGGAATTATTTCTAAGAACATAAAAAATTATATTTAGTTCCATTAGAAAACATCGATTCCAATCTATTCATTAAGTATTAAACATTTATTCCTTTAGTCTATATTATTCAAATTTAAGTGGACATTAAATACTCTTATTCATGATATAAATTATCATGTGCAATGTTATGAATCATCTACAACCACTTGAATATACATTATGATGATAAATAATTTTGTTTGTGTAAAATAGAATAGGAGAAAAAATAAATGATGAAAAAGGCTTTATTTGTAAAGAAGACGAAGCAAACTTTAAACTTTTTGACATATTTTTAAATTGTGCCTGTTAAAATTTATTGCTTGTCAACAACAAGAAAACTACAATTCTGTTGTATTTCATTGCCTGAAAAAAAAAATTGTTTCTGTTTGTTTTGTTTTGTTTTTTCTTTTACATTTTAAGTATAAGTCAATATAAAAAGAAAAACTACCAACATATTTCACAAGACATGATATGATATCCATATCATTATATTGACAATTGTTAAATTTCTTGAATAAAATTCGTTCTCACATGATTTATTCAAATTTTGTTTTGACAGCATATTTTGTTTTCATAAGCTCTTGAAACGTCTATCTTTCTAACAGGTCATAGGCAAATGTTTTTTTTAATGCATAAGTATGACAGTGATTGTAATTTATTGAAAATTATTGAATGAAGAAAAGATTAATTTTTTTTTTACATCCGAAAAATAGGCTATGAACTTTACCGAAATGGACTTAATTTGATCTTGCGGAGAAGTAAAATTCCAGATATTTATTATTAAATCCTGTTTTTAAAGCTTGTTGTTTATGGAAGTGTAATCTTTATATTCTGTCTTATGACAAATTATGGTTTTTTCCTTTCTTTTTCGTTCTCTTATCAACAGTCGTCATGTGGCATTTTCCAAATATGGTAAATAAAAACCTCAGTGAGAATAATCATTTCGGCCTAATCTATTGTTTCGATACTAATCATTGGACTTTTACCATAGCGATGTTTAGCACAGTATTATTTATAAAAAGAGTAGGTAGAAATTATTTGGTATCATTCAATTAGGTTTGTGTAATAATTCTTACTATGTATTATATAATATTTAATAAGTAAACCAATCATATGTTATTAGTTTTATAGATGTCCCAACCTTGTGCTATTGATAATTGTAAACGTGCATCACGCGCTTTATGTCATTGTTGTCATCAAAATCTTTGTCGAGATCATTTAAATGAACATGATGATATATTAAATAGTAAGTTGACTCCATTTGCAGATGAAATCAATCAACTGAATGATCGACTTAATCATATTGATATAAACAATATTCTTGAATATACTTATCAACAATTAGATCAATGGCGTCGTGAGTCTTATAGAATGATAGATGAATATATTGAAGAAAAACAACGTAAACTAAGTCAAAATATTAATTTGAAAATGCAAAATATATCTAATGGAATAAATCATTTAAAAACAATAGTTACTCAACTTATTGACAAACAAGATACTACTATTGACGATCTTAATTCTATATCAAACAATATGCAAACAATTCGACAAGAAATCACTGAAATAGAATATGAATCTATAAATCTTAATATAAATCCATTAGAAATAGATCATAGAATAATACAAATAGAAGATGAATGTGTTCGACATGATTTTAATTTATCTAGTTTAATGCCTCCATTACATATAATTAATCGTTCACCAGATAGTCCTAAACCTGTTATCTCTAATAATAAAGTTTTATTAATGCATTATCAAAGTCAATTATGTTTAGTAAATCAACAACTAACAATCATAAAAGCTATTCCATGGAATTATACTTGGATATGGGATATGTGTTGGTCATCAACATTATCACGTTTTTTCATAATAACACTTAATGACATATTTATATTAGATGAAAATACAATGGCTCTTGAACATTTACCAACAAAAGATAAATATTCTTTATGTGCATGTACATGTTCAGATAAATCATTTTATGTAGCAACAAATGAAGTAGGCTCAACTATATGTGAATTTAGTTTATTACCAACTATTGAATTAATTCGTCGATGGAAATCTGAAGATTTATGTCGGACAGATGAAACGATTCAAGATATAGTTTTTAATAGAGGAACATTAGCTTTTATTATTGAAAATCAAACAAGTCAAAAGAAACGTATGGAACTTCGATTTGCACATACATTTGAACAAATATGGTGTATACAATTTGATATAATTGATCCTTTCCATAATGCATTTCGTTTATGTTTATTTAATTATAATGAATGGTTGGTAATTGATTGGAAATCATCACAAATTTTTTATATTACAAAAGATGGACAACTTAAATCAACATATGTATATGATCAAGTTCCATATCGTTGTTGTCAATTTGGATCAAATATATTAGCTATGTCAGCTAAAAATAGTATTAACTTTCATAAATTGTGAAATCTAAATGAATAATGACACTCATTTCAATTAGATAATAATGGCTTAAGCATTGATATTTTTTATTGTAAACTAATTTTACTTTATTTATTTTTAACTGACATGATATTAGTTGATTTTTTTTAGTTTTATCAAATAAATAGTTCTAAATTTGATAATTTCATTTTTTTTTTCAATTTAGAAAATCAATGAGAAAGTTCATATGAATATTTGTCAATAGGAAGAGACATCCGTAATGTATACACTCATATTATTAGTAATTGATTTATGAAAACAAGATACATGACATTATGTTTGACTAGTTCCTATAAAAGACTACACAAGAATTCAATAGTTACTTTGACATTAATGAATAACATATACAATAATGATAGTTTACAATTACAGTTAAAGTAAATTCAAGGGCAAAAACAAATAAATAAATATTTTCATTGGTCATGAGAAGAGGGAAAAAATTTTATGCCAACTTTCATTAATGTACCAATGTGTCACTGACGGAAATGTTCTATCTGATTCTTTTACATGCATCTAATTATATACAACTTGACATATTATTTATTTTTCTTTTCGGCATTTTCCAACGTATCATGATACATGTGAAATCTCTCACAATTAACACGTAAAATATTTATTCAAGTATGAATAAAAGGTCAAGGATTATGTTTTATTGACAAACACTACTTCCCTTGGTTTTTTCTTGTGAATTCTTCAAAAAATAAAAAATAATATTAGTTTTATTTTCTTTTTCAATCTTTTTTCTTTAATTCAATATTTATTTTAATGTTCTAATTGATTTACATTTATATTAGGTGGAAAAGCATAGAAAAGTATATGTTCTAATCTCCATCCTGGTAAATCATCATCTATTATATCACCCATTCGAAGATATGATCGACGTGGTTCACTAACATCTTCTGTACCATAATTTATTCTATTCCAATATCTCCATATAGGTTTTAATAAACTTGAATTCATTGATGTTTTATATGCATAAAAAAGTGTACCATCATATTTCCATTGATTATTTCCAATAGGTATTAATGTAGAATCAATTTGTAATGTATTTGACCAAATATCTTTTGCTTCTGAATGAAAAGCATAAATTGGTATCGTATCAGGTTTTTGTCTAATATATGCTTGACAAAGAATACCATCTTGTATCCAACCATCACCCATTGCACTATCAGCAGTATGATACCAATAACGAGTTTGATGAGTTTTAGGATCAGTATATTTCCATTGTGCAATTGGAACTAAACTATAATGTGCAGAAAAAAAGTGATGTTTTTGATTAAATATAAGAAATAAAAATAGTTTACTGTTTTTTATAAATAGGTAAAGTTTCTTGTACAGGTTTTAGAGTTGATGAAAGTAGTAAATTGCTATTTGTATTTTCATCAATAAATGTTTTATTCGTATCGATTAAACATGATTCATTTTCTTGAATTGGTTTCGATTCTATTGATGATAAGTTTACAGAGAACAATATTGTTGTATTAGAAATATGTTTTGAATCCAATGAAAAAGATGAATCAGAATTATTGTCAATATCAATTGGAAATGGATCACCAGGTGTAATACTGAATGCACCTAAAGTTCATATTAGATATAATATTTTAATGAAAAATGTTTACCTGAAATAATAATGATAACAGGTAGAGCCAACACCAAACAAAGATACATCGTTGTTATATGTTCTATAGATCACGTGAATAATATAAACGATTATATGTTTATCTCGTCATATGTATATATAAATGTATGAATGAATTTTGTGTTCGATGTTTTGTTTTTCTTTTTTTTTCTTTCTCTTTAATCTTTCAGTATGGTTAAAGTAGAAACGACTGATCCTCACAATATTAAATAATTTTAATAGAAGTGAACTTGATTTCTTTTTATTAGAAAAAAAAAGAACATTTATATTCAATATTCAATTGGCAATACATAAAAAAGTATTTTATCAAATGTCCATTCTGATTGATCTTCAAAATCATTATTTTCTGCTTTTATCATAAGATATGTTATACGTGTTTCAGTTGCATCTGTTGTACCTGGTTTTAATTTATTCCAATATCGTACAATAGGTTGAAGTTCACTCGAATTCATTGATGTTTTATATGCATAGAATAAAACACCATCTGATATCCATTGCTCATAACCAATAATAGGTGGTTTTGGATCCATTTGTATTGTATTAGTCCAAATAGCTCTAATTTCTGAATGAAATGCATAGACTGGTTCAGTATTTGTTTCTGATTTATTATAAGCTTGAAATATAAATCCATCAAATATCCATCCAAATCCCATATGACCACCTTCAGGTTCATACCAATAACGAGTTTCTTTTGTTTTTGGATCTATATATTTCCATCGACCAATTTTAATTAAACTATTAATTGAAAACAAAAGAAAATATGATAATGTTGATGAAGAAATGTTTTACTTCTTTTGATTAAATGATTTTATTGATGATAAAGTTGATGATTCTTGTGATAATGTTAATTTTTTGTCGAAATTATTATTTTTATCAATATTATTATCATGAGATTGGAAAAAAGGTATAGATTTTGTAGTTGATTGTAATAATTTCTTGTCAAGATTTTTTCTTTCAACATCAGTCTCATGAATTTTAGTTGTTGGTGTGGATGTTGATATGACATATTCTATAAAATTTTCTTCCTCATTTGTAGAATCAAATGAATCAACTAATGATGTCGAATGTAATGGAATTTCATCATCAATTGGATCTTCTATATCATTATCATTGACTAAATCTTCTGATGTAAGAATTTTTGATTGATGTTGATCTATTAGAAAAGGATCACCAGGATGAACACTGGAACAACCTATGATTAAATTGGACAAGCAATTGAAGGAAAACAAAATTATTTATTTATTTTTACTTTGTAGAATGATAGTAAGAATATTAAACAAGAGAAAAAAATACATTGTTGTCTTATGTTATACTGACGATATGTATGATGTTAACTAAATCGATTTAGACGAAGATAAATTTTTATCATTCTTTTCTTTTTCTTTCTTTTCATATTGTTTAGTCATTTCGTATCATTACTAGTAGATTTACTATCTTTATTGCTTAAGATTAAATAATGTCAGAAAAAATATTTTTAAGAATGTACATAAGTAAAATAATGGGTGACGTATAATAAATGGTCACACTTTGTATTTCAGATTTTAATCTCTGAATACGTTTTATTAGAAAAAAAAAACGAAGATGTAGAATGAAAAGTTCTACAATCCACAAAGTAAAAGCTCATTTCAAAATAAGCAAAATTTTGTGCGACCAATTTTCGTTAATGCAAATAACATCATTTATTGGTACACGATGAATTCCTTTTTTTGTCTTATTTCACCAATTAATGAATCATAGTTTTTAACTTTATCCGCATGATATTATTGATAATAGCATTCTACACATAATAATCCAAAATATTGAGATAAGAACTATTTTGATAGCCATTTGTGTGATTGTCTATAATATACATGAAATTTTCTTCACATCATGTCAATGATTCCTAACGAGTATGTCATGTGATGTTATCTCATTGATAAGTGAAATCATCGTTTGTTTTTAGATTGTATTTGTGGTTATTAAAAATATATGTTAACATAAAGAAGATATCACGGTACTATGTATGTAGTGGAACATAATTTTTGCAGCAAACTTTTAATGATCAATAAAGAAAAATCTTTATTATAAATTAAATATTCGCATTGACAATTCTAAATCGTTTGCTTTCATGAATTTGGTATCATAGCAATTGAAAAAATAATGGCACTGATTTTCAGACTTTTTTAATTTTTACACTATCATATATTTTGTGGTTTTTCAGACCTCTAGAATGAAATTTTGACGATTTTCTTCATATTTATATCCTATAGAAAAGATGTTTGGGAATTCGCATTCAATAAAATCAAAATAAAAACCTACCATATAACATTGACGAATTTAGAAATGCAACTACTCCTCTCTCTAGGAAGAAAAAGCGTACTTGAAGTTATTTCAAGTTGATCAAAGTATGTAGAAGTAGATCCAAGTACGTTTAAAGTAGCAAGAAGTGGTTCCAGGTAACTTTAAATTCGAGCCTCGCAGTGGTTCTTCTTTTATTCTTTTTTCAAACCATCTTTCTTTGTCTTTGTTTTCTTTGAAACTCCTTCTTTTCCTTCTTTTTTTGCTTTTCATACGAATAGGCTCTCAAAAACTTAGGAAAACGTATGAGCAATGTTTAGGTAGAAAGCTCTCAGAGCTCCAGAAAATGTTTAATTCACCACATGTTCAATAAAAGGCCCGCCACGACTATGTTAAGGTATGCATGTAAGACTTCAATTTACGCGGCACATATGTGCAGAACTTAAGATATTTAACATGGCTCTTCGCTGAAATTTGGTCACTGCTCAAAATTGCGGACATATACTCGATGACCAAACATAATCGAAGCTAAACTATATTATAGCTAGTCTTACAGATACTTAACGTAAATGCCCATTCGTCGTGTATCGATATTCAGTCGAGACTTTTACTCAGCAGAATGTAAGAAGCACAGTTTTTGCTGGTATTGTTGTTGATAAACAAAAGGAGAAAGGCAATCGAAATTTGGTAATAATAAGTAAGATGGTACTTGTAAACGAGAATGGAGTTATACATGTAAATTAGTTTCAATTCAACTCACAATCGACTATCAATTTTCTACACAAATTAAGTTAGTCAATCAATTCCAGACATGATCCAAGACCTTTCCGCTGGAACTATAGTTTTTTTGACCTTTCTAGTCGACAAACTGATGAGTCATGGTTGAACTTTATACCGATCGTTATACCGATCGAAGAACTTGAAAAGTATTTAGAACTGCATATATGAACATAGATCGGGAAATTCGATATTTGTCTAGTTAACTCAAATTGTTAGAGAACATAAAAACCATCTTAAAACGTCGTTTAGAACAAGAAGTTCAAAAAAAGCGTATCTGGATTGAGGGAGCAATAAGGAATTTCACTCTGAGTGAGATATGGCAGAAATACAGCTGAGGAAAAATATCTTTCTACACACTTGAAAACGTTTACGGATTGAATTCAGCTTTCAGGGCCAAAATTTAGTTAACCAGCTAACTTAACTTCGAATTACCTTAAATTTTTCACGTCTAGGCGAGAATTCCGTATTTACGGCAACTTTGTCCCGCTATGTGAAAAAGTGGTAGATAAAATTGATCATGACACAATGCTAAAGCAAAATAAATATATGATACTTGGAATTAGCGTCAAAAATTGTATCTAATTAAGTATTTTTCAGCGAAAATTTTTTCCTGCCCAAAACTGCCCTGTGGTTGACCACAGTTGTATTTATACGAAATTTTTCTTCCTGGTTCCCAACAGGCCAGTTTTGGATAGAAAAAATTTTCGCTGAAAAATATTTAATTAGATACAATTTTTGACGCTAATTCCAAGTATCATATATTTATTTTGCTTTAGCATTGTGTCATGGCCATAAAAACCTCTAAAAACGTTCATGTGATATTGAAAAACCATCAAAAATTAGGAGATGTAAATCTCATTTTGCAGAAAAAAAGAACTGCACAACATATGTAAAATTCAGCTTGGAGTCTCTTGATTTTAAAGTACAGTAAGAGGTACATCGTTATAGTGGGACTAATTAAGAAGTCCCCTTTCGACTCATGTTGACTTTATAAAACTTGAGTTAATAGACATTATATTATATCCATACAGTTCATTTTCTTTAGCTTCTAATTCTCTATCTTTTGACATATACTATGAAAAATTTCGATGATCTGTTGAAATGTGAGCTGGCACAGCTTTTATAGGGTATTTTTTCTTTTTCTTTTTCAAAAAGATATAATAGTTCCAAAAGTCGGTATTGGCTCACTTTTCAAAGGAAAGATACTAGAACTTAAAATTTTGAAGTCGATGGTTTTAGACATTGATGTGTTGAATGAGCAAAAAAAATTCAAAAAAACTTTTTTTATCGAGTGCCTCGTATATATTGAAGTAGAACTCGGTCCGCTCATGGAAGCTCTCTCAAAGTACCGTTAAATTAGCTGAAAGTAACTTCAAGTCCAAAAGTAGGTTTTTTTTCCTTGCCTTCTCTTCCAAAATATTTTTACAATTTTTCTCAACAGAAAATGTTCATAAATAAACCGATACGCCCTCGAAAGGGCTTCAAAACATGTTTTATAACCATAATCATCTCTCTTTCCAAATATCCTAGAGTCGCGTCTGCTATATAAATAGATTATTCAAAAGCTTACAAGAGACAATCTATTTATAATTATGATTGAAAATTTAGAACATCAGACAAATTCGTAGACTTACTTAAAAGCTTATGTATAACACTTTCTATAGACATCTGTCGTGTTCATTACTGATTCGTTCTTCAATGCATCGATAATACTTAACAATTTAGAGTTATGTTATATACTCGGAACTCAAACTGTTATTATAATATTTCATTAGAATTCTGATTATTATTCAATATAATTTCTTAATTAATATAACGTATTTAATGTTTTAATTTAGAGTTTATTGTATTCAAGCGTTTGAAATAGTATGTCATCTGTAGTATTACGCCGATTTGTTAGTACATGCCGTCCAACATTAGCTATTTATCATGGACGTAATTTTACCACTAGTGCACCTTTCTTAATCGAAACGAACAATATTAATACTAGCAACACTAATACGGAAACTGTTTCATCGGATGCACCACGAACAGTTACTTTGATACCAGGTAAATAGAATTTTCTTTTAGATTTAAATAAAAAATGTTTTTAAAATTAGGTGATGGTATTGGTCCGGAAATTTCAAAAAGTGTTCAACAAATATTTCAAGCTGCTAATGTAACAATAAATTGGGAACCAGTTGATGTTACACCCGTTAAATCGGTATGAAATATATTTTAATTCTTCTTTTTTTTATATTTTGTTTTTGGGTGGTGTTATTTAGCCTGATGGAAAATTTCGAATTCCTCTTAAAGCTATTGAATCTGTTACAAAAAATCGTATTGGACTTAAAGGACCATTAGCTACACGTAAGAAAATCAGATTTTTCAAAATTACAAAAAAAAATTGTGATTCTCTTTTTTTTATTCTTCTAGCTGTTGGTAAAGGACATCAATCGCTTAATCTTGCTTTACGTAAACAATTTAATCTATTTGCTAATGTAAGACCATGCAAAACTCTTGAAGGTTAGTTTTTGTTTTATTTTTAGCTTCAAAACAAAAAAAAGTTTTTTTTATTCGCATATTTAGGTTATCAAACACCATTTACAAATGTTGATCTTGTTACAGTACGTGAAAATACTGAAGGTGAATATTCAGGTATTGAACATACAATTGTACCTGGTGTTGTACAGAGTATTAAACTTATAACACAACATGCATCATTACGTGTATGTGAATATGCATTTCTTTATGCTAAACAACATAAAAGAGAAAAAGTAACAGTTGTTCATAAAGCAAACATAATGTAAGAATTTTTATTATTATTATTATTGTTGGAATGATTTATTTTTTGTTCGAATAAATTTAGGCGTCTTTCAGATGGTTTATTTCTTCGAAGTGCACGTGAAGTTGCTGAAAAATATCCAGAAATTAAATTTGAAGAAATGTATCTTGATACAGTTTGTTTAAAGGTTTGTTTTTATTTATTAGAAATTTTCCTCTTATCAACGCTAAAATATAAGGCAGATCAATATTTTTTGAACAATTTTCGATCGAAACATAATAAAGACTTGCGGTTTTCGTTATTCAAGTGAGAAAATCCAAGGCCATCGAAATTCAATAGGTTAGAAATTGAATTCCACAATCAACCTCCATACATAATGAAGGAGTCGACACTTCAGAAATATTGAGCTAACAGTGTCAGATCAGTTTGAACTTAAAAACAAATATCACCATTCGACTCAGCACGGTGAATTAC